AGAGTAACCAATGGGACAAAAGGTATGAGGAAGGATGAGAACTCTGGGACATCTGGGAGCAGGCCCCAAGCATGTTCAGCTCTATCCATTCTACTTCCCGTGCACATCACCCCGCCTGCTCCGCCACCACCAAATTCCAGGGCCTCAGTCCCTTGTCATTTTGGGACCACTGAGACCTTCATATCCTTTGTTGAGATCATCCGTCTCCTCACTTCTCCATGTCCTGCTCCAGGCTGGCATGGAGCCTGGGCTCCATGAGGTTCAGGGAGCATGAGGAATGGGGGAGCAGAGGGGACATAACAGCTGGTTGAGGTTGTGGGAGGAGGGGTCTTGAGCCATGACTCAGATTCCTTAGCTTCTCCAGGCCCGGAGATTGCAGTTCTTTCCTTGTTAGGATGTCTCCTGGAAAGGGTGGAAGGTGAGCTGATTCCTGAAAGACGGGCCATGTAGGCACTGCCTGCTAACCTCTGAGAACAGAATGCCCAGCTGTGGCTGGCAACAGCGAGTAAAGCAAGGTGTGCGCTTCCCTTTCGGGAAGGGCTCCCAGGGTGGCAGCGAGGAGATACTGGAGACAGAACTGGGGAGATACTTGGTCAAGGTGAGAGAGAGGGTTAGTGCTTGTCCTGGGGCAGGTACGGGCAAAGGGACCAGGGGGAGCCTTGTTACTGGGGAACAAGGAGCCAAACGTGCTTGCTGAGTGGATGCTTTCGAGCCCAGATCTCCAATTCCACTTTCTGCCATGACAATCGATGCAGTCAGTGGCTTGGTCCCCAACCCGAGGTCTCCTCGCCTGAAGCGCGAACGGGAAGTAGGCGTATGGCATCGGGGGTCAGGGGCCCCCTGGACGCAAAGCCCGGGCGCTGGCTCTTCCGCGTCCACACAGGTAGACGACCCCGTCTGGGACCCAGCTGCGCCGCGGCCTTCGCAAGACCCCGCGCCCGCAGGGTCCCCAGACCTTCGCCGACAACCTACTGCGCACGGTGGGTACCGGCGGCCGGGAACTCTGACGCCGAGTCAGTAGCGGGGGCCAAGCAC